GTAACGGGTAACTTTGAGCTTAAATCATTCAGTCAGAGGTATTATGCAGGTTTAAATGTCCTGTGCTCATTTCATTTCTTTTTCTTTTAAGTGATATAACAATATAACAGCGTGGTTGTTATACTTTACTGTTGTATAACTGTGATTTATATGATATGTATACACATGCATGAGGGGTTGAGGTTAACGTTTGCTTTCCAGCATAGAATGAAATATAATGGTGTCCTTACCTGCATAATTTATGTCTATTTTTTTTCTCCTCAGGTCTTGCACTCTCAGCGCATTAATGAGACTCCCCTGAAGCCATGGGTCATCATTGCTGACGATGGGCAGGTTTGCTGTGCACACTGTACATGCATGGCTGGAATTGCAGAGGCATGTACACATGTTGGGGCTCTGCTGTTTAAGATTGAGGCAGCAGTCCGCATCCGTGGGAAAAAGACTGTGACAGATGTGCCAGCTTATTGGAAAATACCAGCAGGTATCAACAAAGTCAGCGGTGAAGTCGCCCACAAGATGGACTTCACTTCATCCAAAGTGCAGAGGATTGCTCTGGACAGAGTCATCGATGACAACATTCCCATGCCTGGCCTACGGACACGGGCCAGCAGACGCACTGCCCAAGCCACATTGGACGACTTATCGTCAATGTTCCCTGTTCTTCAGAACCATAGGTCAGTTTGTATGTCCACAGTGAAGCCCTACTTTCACAACTATGCTGCTCCTGTCCAGCCAGCTGTGATCCCAAAACCCCTGCAAGACCGTCTGCGCGACCCAAAGTTTGAAAATGCTCCACCAGCTGTCCTTCTCCAGCACTGTGAGACAGTGAAAGACATTGCAGCTGCATATTATTGCACGTCGTTATATTACAATACAATTATAGATTATATTATTGTATATCATGACATATTGCATCGCAGCCTTTATTTATACAATTTAAGAAATGCATATTGTTAAAAGTAATTATATAAGACATTGCACTAACATTGTTTTTTAATGTGTACTATAGTACCGGTAATAATTTGCACTACTTCAAATGTTATTGATATCTGTTATTACTTAATTTGATCTACCTCCAATTTTTATGTTTGTAATTGATGTTTCATAAATACGTATTTTTTATTACTTTGGAATTTTTTTTATACATAGACATTTTTTATAAAAAGCATAGTATTTTGTATTATTACATTGTATTGTTATATTTGCATATTATTGCACGTTGTTATATTATACAATTATAGATTATATTATTGTATATCATGACATATTGCATCGCAGCCTTTATTTATACAATTTAAGTAATGCATATTATTATAAATACTTATATAAGAATTTGCACTAACAGTGTTTAACTGTTAATGTTTACTATAACTACAATTTGTATAATAATAATTTGCAATATCTCCACTTTCCATTTCTCCATTGATGTTTCATTAAGACCGACTTATTAATAGGATTGAACATTTTGTATAAATACATACTATGTTATTGTAAGTAATTGCACTGCATTTTCATCGCGTCAATTTTTTATTTGTAACCATTTACCTACAAGCATTCAAACTGCACTGCTCTGTTCTGCGCTGCACTGTGTTCTCAAGTTTCACTACTTGCAAATAAACACTGAAAAGGATCTGATCGTTTGAGACCTCTTGCTTTTGGGTATGGATGCAAAACACACCTATGGCTAAAAAACAACCCACTTGTTAAATGTTTGCTTAGAGTGTATTGTTGATACAAAGAAATTGTCAATTCCATATTGAGCATCAATCTTTTCTTTAATACAGTAATTCATAAACACCAGAATAAAGTGGTTGACTTTAAGGTGTGGAAGTCCAGTGTAGTATTTCACTTTGACGGTGTCTTCCTTCAGGAAATCTTCATCCATTTTTCTCTGGCCAAGCTCACGTTTCAGGGTCCTGTTCTCCTCCAGCAGCCGGTTGATTTCAGCACGCCGGCGGTGTCTGCTCAGCTCCATCCTCAGCTGGTGCTGGTGTCTCCACTATGGATAAAATAAGGACATCTTTTAGCTAAATGTGCATCATGCAGCTGAAAAAGCCACAAAAGCAACATACGGTGTTGAATCTTCTGGCTCTGTAAGGCTTACCGGGTGGAACAAGGTCATCAATAGATGTCTCATCCTCGCAGGTGTACTGTCAGTCCTTTGCCGTTTTCTCTTTTCCTGTCTCTCATAGCGTGCAGTCTGTGTGGCCTTTATCTCAGTGTGGCCCAAGTGTAGTGATGGTGCCCAATCCGGATGCGAGGTGTACATTTCATTTGCTGGTTTTCCTGGTGACACAATTTAAAATTATTATCCACAGCAGCAGTGTTGAACACATATAGAACCATAATGTTATCAATGATCCTCAATATACACATTATTAAATTGTATTATATGATTACATTACATTACAAGACGGCTGGTAAGCGCTAGGATCAGCAAAATTTATAAGTGGTGCTATGACAGCTGTCAACCTCAGGGTTTTTTTTGAAAATGGAGAGGGATGTCCCTGTCCTTGTAGGAACTGGCAGTGTGTTCTACCAAAGAGGATAAAATGCTATATCAACCAACGAGGATGAAAATGCTATATCAACAGTCTCTGGGCGCGCGTTCATGCTTGTATGTGGTTCCACGGATGAAGGAAGGAAACACTGTAGGCTATAAAATAAAACCGTGCATCTTTAACTTACCAGAATGAAAATGCAGGGAACACACTCGCATTGACATCAGGATACTTTGGAAAGTTCTGTTCTGTCGTCTTACAGCCGCGATCCAAGCTAGCCGACGACTCTTTGTTATCTGTGAAACTTGGTCTCCGTGTTTGCGCCTCCAGGCAGGACAGCGGTGGAAAGTTATCCCATTTTGTAGGTTTTTCCCTCGGCGATCATGTGATGCGCTGTTACAGCCCACAATACAGCAACGGTTTACCATGGTTGAAATCAAGTTACGGTGAAATTAAACGAAATAAAACACGGCTGAGAGGGAGAACACAGGCAATAGTCTAAGGAAGCCGTAAAGTGCGCCGTCAACATGGTCACGACGACCAAGCCCTATTGCGAGGTAACGCAAAAGGTTTTGCGAGGGAACGCAAAAGTTTTTGCGAGGGAACGCAAAAGTATTGCGAGGTAACGCAAAAGTATTGCGAGGTAACGCAAAAGTATTGCGAGGGAACGCAAAAGAAAAAAAATTCCCCATGTCCCCTAGGGGGCTCCGTAGTAAATAACTGTTTTTTGTGCAGAATGTAATACAGGACTAAGCCCACCTGCCACATATTTGTTGGTCGAGAACTGAGGAACCCTTCTATGTCGAATTCTGGTGGGACATGGATCCAAGTACCATAGAAATACTTTATAGTTTCAATACTTTATATTGAATAGTTTTTTCAGTCATCAAAGCAACTTGGACCAAAGTCTATAAGATAAGGTTTTGGAACTTTTAACCTGGCCTCTATCAGGATGTTCTCAGGTTTAATGTCTCTGTGGAAGATGTTTGCCTCCTGACGGTGAATTATTGCTTTTAGCAGCTGTTTTATGATGATCTTGGCATTCTTCATACTTCATCGTTTATTGGACACGCCAGTAATTCTTTGCAATATATATGCGCTTAATTCAGACAGACCAGAATTCTTTCATAATCTGTCACAAATTCTTCTAGATTCAGATGGTGCTCTGCTTGTGTATTAACTAAAGGTCTCATATCTAGTCTATTTCAGTTACAAAGGTCAATGAGACAAGGCTGCCCGCTTAGCCCCGGCTTATTTGTGATTGCAATTGAACCTCTGGCTCCAAAAATTCGCTATCATACAGCGATACATGGTATTAATGTGGGCAACATCCATCACAAGCTTCTTCTGTACGCAGATGATATGTTGGTCCTTCTAACTAAACCTGAAGAATCTGTTCTCATTTTATTAGATTGTACTGAAGATTTCACATTATTGTCTGGATACAAAGTAAAACTGGGATAAGTCTGAAGCTATGCCTATGTCTGGACACTGCCCCTCCTCTCTATATAAAAACTGGAGATTCTGTTGGTCTCCAAAAAGTATTAACTATTTGGGCATACAGATTACCTCTGATTATAACAATATGGTTAAAATGAATAGTGGCCCCTTGATTGGAAAAATAAGAACTGACTTTGGTAGATGGTCTAAAATTCACTTGTCCCTGTGGGGAAAGATTAACTCTATTAGAATGATGACAGCCCCAGTTGTTTTCTATCTCCTCCGTAATATGCCTTTGCATATTCAAGACTCTTTTTTTCAAAGAGCTAAATACCTTAATATTGGATTTTCTATGGGGTAAATCCCATCACCGTCTGAGTCTTAAAAAGTTACAAGCGAGCTCTGACAAGGGTGGTTTTTCCTTGCCTAATTTTAAATGGTATTATTGAGCTTTACGGGCAAAACAACTTAGAGTTTGGTTACCCACTTTCAATTCCTCTGATAAACCTTCCTGGTTTCAGCTGGAGTCTGATGCGAATGGAGGTGAATCTCCATGGGCTACTTTATTAGGTGTCAAAACAAAAATTCATAGAGATCACCCTATTATTACGGCGGACAAATTAATTTGGAATAAATTACACAGAGCAGGTTGCTGGGATTTCATTAAGTCATCATTAGCTCCTTTATGGAATAATAACAAAATTCTTATAGGGGGAAAATCAGTCAACTGGCCACAGTGGTTTGAGGTGGGAATCTCCTGTGTATTCCATTTGTTTGATGCCAAAACCAAAAACTGTCTGAGGAAAAATATTATGGAAGTAATTTTCGAAGTACTGGAAAGAAGGTTTAATATCACTGCCAAGCTTGCAGTTTTAGGCTCCACAGCAGAACTCCCGGACTCATATTTCTCACTTTTTGACAAGAGATGGCTGGTTCTGGCTCTGACCACAGCAAAAAGGATCCTGTTAAGATACTGGATGAAAAAGAACCCACCTCCTTATTATGAATGGCTGACGACTATGGTTAAACTGGCTTCTTATGAGAAAGTGACATATACTGTAGTCTTCTAGGTAAAATGCATCAGTATGATAGTACGTGGTCTGCCTTTCTCAACTGGCTAACGGTAAAGTAAACTTGTAAAGGTCGGTGTGGCATAACATATCTGTTGTATGTTTTACAAAACAAAAAACTCAATAAAATTTGCATAAGAAAAAAGTTAGAGATATTTTCTGGATTACATTGGGAAACCAGAGAACCAAATGGAAATACACAAAGTTAAAATTAAACTAAATTAAAAGTAAATTAAAAGGGATGATTTTTTGTTTTTTTTTATACGGGGAAACTGGAGCACCCAGAGAAAACCCAAAAAACTGTACTTACACTAAAGGATGTTTCTGAAATAAGGGGGAAACCAGTGCACCTGGATAAAAGGCAGGAATATCAAACTGAATTAAGTTCCTGGACTAATAGAGAAATCAGAACAGCTGGAAAAATCAATCCTCTAATTATTGTGAAATTCCTGCATTGTTAAACTTTTCTTATGAAGTATGCCGCTGTTTTCTGGTTATATTTGAGTATCTTCTTTCAACAACCAGCGGTGGTGTAACAGCTCTTCTAGGGTGGGGCGTTTTGTTTGGGTCTACTGTCAGGCACTTTGTTAGAAAATCTTTGCATGTCTCGGAGAGCCTTGTGTTGATCTTTAGTTTTGACAGGAATCCACGGGTAAGGAACTGTTTTTTGTGCAGAATGTAATACAGGACTAAGCCCACCTGCCACACATTTGTTGGTCCAGAACTGTGAAACCCTTGTTTGTCGAATTCTGGTGGGACATGTACCCAAGTACCATGGAAATGCTTATAGTTTTTTAGGTCATCAAAGCAACTTGAACCAAAGTCTATAAGATGAATTTTGGGGAATTTTGACCCGGTCTCTATCAGGATGTTCTCAGCTTTAATGTCTCTGTGGAAGATGTTTGCCTCCTGAAGGTGAATTACTGCTTTTAGCAGCTGTTTTATGATGATTTTGGCATTCTTCATCGTTATGTGACCCTTGTGTTTTCGAATGTAGTCAAAGAGGTCCTCAGCAGGCATGGGTCTCTCCAAAACTAAAATCAGTTCCTCATTCAGATCATACCAGTCTAGCAGGGACACGATAGCTGACTGCCCCACTGAACTGGTTGTTTTATCCCTCAGTTTTAACATGATAGCCACCTCAGAGGGCATCTGCTTTCCATTCTCATCCACATGTTTTAAAATCTCCATGTCTTTTTCGATGTGTTTGATGGCTACAGATAATTTATCATGCACACGATAACCAGCGAAAACAGATGCAGATCCTCCATCTCCAATCTGTGTTTGCTCAATATAGGTTTCCCTAAATTTGGCTCTAAGGGAATCCTCTGTTTCATCATTTGTGTTCTCTGTCTTTAGTCTTTTCACATTCGGTGACTCTAGAAAGTCCTCTGCCTCACTCTTTAGACTCCTTTTCTTTAAGTTTTGTTTTTGTAATAAGTTATCACTCATAGGGGACAGGCTCAATGATGTGAGATAGTCATTTTTGGCTGGAAGTGGTCCTCCCTGCTCAAAGATATTACTCTTTTTACTTCTCACTGTACTGATTTGGTCCAGGCAGCCTGTGGAGGCTTCTTCCCCTGTAGAGACCTTAAACCTTTTTCTTGCGGTGGAGTCTCCCTCGTCAAAAATGTTCTTCTTTTTGCTTCTCACTATACTGATTTGGTCCAGGCAGCGTGTGTAGGCTCCATCCCCTGTAGAGACCTTAAACTTTTTTCTGGGGGTCTCATCTACGGTGCTGTTTTTTCTTTTTGTTGGACTTTCTAGTGTCATTCTGCTGTTCTCTTGATTACTCCTCAAGGATAAAGTTGTAAAAATATCTGCAGAATCTTTGTCTTCTGTGTAATTTAGCGATTATCAGTTTACCTTCAAGCCAAAACGATCTTACCTTGTGATACTCTAGCAGTGTAAGGGAATTCTGTGCTTAGAATTGTGATGTCAGCACATAGTAATCATTCTTCTGACGTCACTGTGACATCACACAGGGCGTGGTCTTAAAAGTCTAAACAGGGCATGGGCGGGCATTGTGGGGCTGTGCCCGCCCTGGACTGCCGTCTTTTCTTTTTTTTTTTTCTTCCCTTATCTTATCTCAGCGTAGTCAGCTTTCTATTATTCCTCTCTCATTCTGTCAATCATAAAATTCAACCAATCAAACCGACGACTAAACATCCAATCAAACAACAGAGGGGGCGGGAGTCGCGGGACACTGAGTCAAACATACTTAACGTTCGCACATGCTATAAATACGTCTGGTCACCAGCGAGTGCGCGTCGGTATGGATATTCGGGCTTATTTTCAAAGCAATAGAAGGACAAGTACTGAAAACAGAGCAAATGAGAGTGGCCAGGGAGCAGTTTCTGCTGGAAGGTTAAACTAGACAGTCAGCACTGAAGTAAAAAAAAAAAACGCTTTTCCAATCAGTTTATTTTTAAATAAATCAAATGATGACAATAGAGTTTCAGATGCAATATAGTCATTCCAGCATATACGTGATCTATGTGCCTGGACTGGGTCCAGCTTGAATTTACACAGAAAAGGTCTGCAAATACATCAGCTTTACATTTCCTAAAGCAAACCTATTTCAGTGCAAAGCTCATCTAAAAAGGGCTAATAAGATATCTGAAAGTCTTAATTCTGTTTGTTTCCCCTGTGTAAATATTATATATTGCATGCTTTCTCTTTCTCCTGCAGGGTAATTTGTGTCTCTTAAAAGAAAAAAAAAATGAAATGAGCACAGAACATTTAAACCTGAATAATGCCCCTGACTGAATGATTTTAGCTCAAAGTTACACGTTAATGTGTTTTATGAGGTCAGATTTTATAACCCGCAGTCAATACTGCACTCAGATTTCTAAATAGTTCACTTTGAAAGACTCTGATTCAAACTAGGAGTTAACTTTTGAGTTATTTGAATGGCCACAGGACTACACTATTGTTTATTTTTTATATTTTGTGGATCTTTGACTATTTAATCTGGACCTAATTGTACCTAAAATTTTATCAATAACAATGTTCAATAAATGTTTTTCAACAAAATACAGATGTAACACGTATCCAGTTTCTGAATGGTTGTAAAAAATCTTGTTTCTACCTGCAGCTGGGGGAGAAATTAGAACATGGTTCAGAAAACCTGTCAGGACACATTTTTTTCTAACACTAAGAATCAGACAAATGCTGATTTCTAATTCAGCAAATTATTCTTAAAAGATTTTAAAATAATTGTAATAAATGTTTTTATAAAGATTTGAGATTTCTTTTACTGAATGAATGGTCACAAAGCTAGTGTAAAGCTTGAAGTAAATAAATTTTTTGCTGAAAAAGTGTGCCCCCCCAAAAAAATGGAATGCCCCCCCTTTAATTTCTTTCTGCATACGGGTCTGGTAAAAGGTAGGGTTGCCTATAACCACCCAATGGTAAGAATTTCTCTTGACCTGAAGAAAAAAAAGGTCCCAGAAATCAAATCAATAACTCAACATAGGGCTTGATGTTAATTTCTTCTAGGAAAGACTTAGTTTGAGATATAAATCTTCATTAAATATTTTTTTTTTCAGGAGAAATATGTGAATTATGATTGATTTCCTGTCTTTGACAATTTACTGTTACACCTTTAAACAGATTCAGAGTTAAGTTTAGTTATATAGTACCAATTTAGAGCGCATTAGCCACGTCATTTACAGAGATATTGATATTTACAGAAGCAGTTTAAACAGAGCATACATACAGATTAATTATTTCATATTCAAATGAAAACCAGCAGATTGTAATATGTCATTGACTTGCAAAATTCACAGCTTGTGGATGGGTAAATCAGTGAATATTTCGCTATGCAAACACCCTTGAAGAAAATCGTGTTGGGTGTGATCATCCCTGTTTACTTTCAATAAGCACTAATTGCCCGACCTGTTATGGCAGGATTTTCTATCAGGTGAGAAATCAGATGTGGTGTTTTTAGGCCTTTAAGGGATACTGTAGATCAGAGGTCTTCAAAGTTTTCCAGGCCAAGGACCCCCAAACTGATGGTGAGATGGAGCGGGGACCCCTAATTATATATATTGTATGAAATTGTGTTATATCAAACTGGTCCTATAGTCACTCTATTACATATGGAGTTATATAACAAAAGTAATTTCACCCTGGGATTATTGAAGTATTTCTGAATCCTGGTTGATGGGACAGGTGTTGTGAATAAAACGGTGCCCAGCTTAAAGAGCTCCTGTGTGTCACTGAATGTGTGCATTGATAACTGAAAGACATCTTCTGCCTGAATTTATCTGTGCACTACAGTGTGTTGAATTCATGTTAATGTGTATTTAAGGACATTTCAATTAGTGGAAAAAATTGCAGGGGGGAATATAAAAAGTCTAATCAACCAAAACTTTTGCAACCCCCCCATGCAGTACCTCCGTGGACCCATTAGGGGTCGCAGACCCCTGTTGAAGACATTTGCTGTAGATGGTGTTGATTGAGCTGAGTTTTAAAACTACATATTCTAGGGATGACATTGATGTGGAAGACCACCGAAAAAGAAAAAAACATCTGAAAGGTAGAATGTAAGAATATGTAATTTCCACTATTGACTGACTTTTCAATGTAGGGTGTGTCTGGGTGCCCTTCGGGGGGTTTGTTTTCCCATTGGCTAATGTAACACAAAACCAACTCTGTAAATTTGTGCCTTGGAGTGGATGAAATCAATTTGCCTGAGAACCTTGTGATGCAATCATGGAACACGAAGGGAATTGAGCACGCCCAATTCAGCTTCGCTTTTGTTATCGTTTTCATTTTGTCTAGAGCCGCCGATGATGTGCTTGAGGCCAAAAGATTATAAACCATTTAATATAGAGAGTTTATTAGGTTGGGCTGTTGTGTGAATATGCACATACTCAACATCTGGGTTCTGTAACTAGGGAAATGACTTCCAAGAAAGAAGCATAGATTATATTATATCTGGCTGGATAAAGTCAGTCTAGCCCTTAGTGTGTGCGTGGAGAATACAGAGTGGAATAAAGGTGACAACAACCGGGAGCATGAACAAATAAAAGCAAATTTAATGATATAAACCTTAGTCAGTTAAAAAAACATGCTGCTGTCATTTTGCATATCTGATGTTGCTGATGTTTTAAAATATTCAATATTTTAAAATGTCCATAGCTGTATATTGGTTATTTATTCTACAGGTGCACAGCTTTTATATTGTTAAACACTTTACAGTACAGTATTTTATTGTTTATCTTTTAACTCTTAGTTTTATACATCTGACGTGAACACCAGAATTTCACCATTGTGGGACAATAAAGAGATTTTCTATTCTATTCTATTCTATTCTTTTCTATTCTATTCTATAAAAGGGGTAGAAAGATCTAGGTAAATCTAAACAATGTATGTATAGAAAAAAATATATCTGCAAAATCTATATTCAACAAAAAAAAATATTTTGTTAAGCAAATTATGCCAAACAGCTATTAAAAAATAAAAATCATATCAGATTTATAGTCCCCACACTGCAGATATATTTGAATCTGTCCTTATATTACAACCAAATCCATTTACACAATAACAGATAAAAACCTTTAGATAAATCTAACATTACCCGCCACACATCTGACTCAAAAATCATTAAAACAACTATTTACATTGATTTCAAACTGAACTATTTCCATACTTGTACTATACTAAACTGAACTTCCAACATTCACCACTGTTTGATGCTAAGGGCCGGATTTATCAAGATCCAATTTTGCGTGCAGCAATTTGCGCTCGCAAAGTGGAATTTTGCGCGAGGGGCTGAACCATGGTTTGCGGGTGATTTAACAAGAGCGATTGCGTAACTGGTGGAAGGTGCAAAACTGTTGGAGACGCCCTATTTAAATGATGGTTTTGCGCGTTTTGTGGTTTGCGGCAAAGTAGTTTGTAGTCTGTACAAACTAGTGCATTAAGAAATTTAAATCTTACAGTGACCCCCAACAAAAAAAAATAAATAAGTATATATATATATATATATATATATATATATATATATATATATATATATATATATATATATATATATATATATTTATTTATTTATTTATAAATTGGCAACCTTTATTCCCTAAGGTGGTATGTGCTGCAGTAAAAAAAAACAAAACAAAAAAAAAACAGGTGTTTTGTATTGGCCTGTGACTGTGGATGAGATCCCCGCAGCATTTGGCCCGTTGCTCCACAGGCGCAGGGGGAGAACCCCGACCCCGTCGGACAGCACTTCTGAAAAAACGAGATTAGGAGATCCCAGCTCACGCTGCAACCGTACGCTGGAATGACCCAGATGCAAAAAAGTGCAATGTTGCAAGGAGTTTTGTGATATCTGTTATTGCGTGGGTCCTCCTTGTGGCTGGCTCCAAATCCATTCGGAGTTCCCCCAACAGCTCCAAAATGGCAATGCTGGATAAACGATATGTTTTGATTATCGTTTCCTCGTTCATTCCAAAAATATTCACACGGAGTGAAAAAATGCGTTCTCTGCGTCTCCTTGCTTCATTTCGATGTCTCCTTCTTGCGACAATAACCGCTGCCATGTGTGCGCAATTACGCATACAGACCATTTGCACCTTCTTTTGAAACGTGTTAAATATAGAGTCAGATACCGTTAGCAAAATTGCGTTCAAGTTTGATAAATCACTTTGCGAGTGCTAAATTAATATATTTACATGTTCTCCTCCCACAAGACGCACTTTAGCGTGTAAACGCCCCATATTGCATATTCATTGCAGAAAAAGTACTAAATGGATCACAGGCGCTATTTAGCACGTTTTAAAGATCAAATGCTTTTAGCACGCTGTTGATAGATCAGTTTGTACATTTTTTAGCGTGCGCAGTGAAATAGCTCACGTTTTAATACACGCAAACCTTTGATAAATCCGGCCCTAAGTATCTTTTTTCTCTCATCACGGAGCAACTGGCTTGCTAGGTCTCGCAATGAATCCTGGGATAACCAAGGATAGTGAAGATAAACCAGACCCATCCTTCAAATCGACCAAAAGGAAAGACGCATTTATAGGCCACATAACGAGGA